ATATATATATATATATATATATTATTTCTATTATATATATATTGTCCTGAAGAGATAAACATGGAGCAAATTCCACGTATAAAAGATCTTGCTCGTTTTAGCTGTCATTAACTTCTGTATCGCTAACAAAATGGATAAAGTTAGACAGTGTTTGAAAGATGTTCTGAGCTACCAATATGCCATCAAATCCAAATGCATGGGACAAAAGTACGAACAGCAATGGGCTTATTGACTCATGAAGTTTTTGCCACAAAAGTTGCTGAAATTACGCATTATAGAAACTGCCATTAAGATTCAAATCTCAAACCTTTTATCCCTTTCCTATAACTGACTTGCAGCTAATTTGTTCCAATCCACTACCACTGAGCAGAACAGGTCTGCAAAGCTTAATGGCAGTCATATCATATAAGACCCTCCAATCCTCAATTTCAATATTTTTGCAGTGGGTAAGCGTTAGACACAAAGTATGGCTCAATTATTTATCAGTAAAAAATTCTTTTTGTGCAGCTGACAACTGAGTCATAAACATACTGCGTTCTTATCAATGAGAAAATGAATACCAGACTTTAAATGAGCATAAATTCAACCACTCACGATAGCCAGCGTTCACAGCGGGCATTCGATCATAATAATCTCACATTGAAGGTTACATTTCCATTGTTACATTACTTTGAATAGCATTAAGATTACAACAAACAGGGAATGCGATGAGGAAGATAAGTGATAAATAGATACTAAAAGGGAACATTCAAAGTTTATATAATTGATATCGGCCTTAAAATCAATTCCAATTCTAATAAGTCATTCAATAACTTTTCGTTCGGCAGAGCATACTTCTATCGTACGTACTGAAGGATAATAAACATAAAAATTGAGGTCAGTGCGAGCAAAGGAACCTGGATTGGCGAATATTGTACCGTCTACTTCATAGTTAAAGTGCTCGAACTTATCAGCTATAACTACGAGGTCAGGTAATGGATATATTGCGAGATAGCTATCCATTTGCCAAATAACCGGCGATATATGCAAGGGGAGTGGCGATAAATGCCCAGCAGAAGCGATGCTGTGACAAAACTGAAATAATAACTTGCAGTACAAGTCGCCCGACATTTTTTGTAAATTGTGTCGAATTTAATTTTAGATATAAAATTAGACAACTGAACAACACATTGTGATAACAACCGTGCCATAATTGAAATTGTGTTGACTAAATAATATTCAAAGTTCTTTGCTTAGATTCATGGAATACAGAGATGAAGAGAGCTTACATGTTCTGGAATATCAGCGGTAGATGACGGCATATGAATGCTATTCCTGCACATTTTTTCAACTAGATCTTGACGCATTACGACAATTTCTTGATTAGCATATTGTATGCGACATGGATTTGACGCAAACGAACAATTTGGCACATTCATCATCAATTCAAATAGCGAAAATGGTAATGGTGGCCTAAAAGCAACACTTGTACGATATGCCATGTCTTGGATTTAGCAAATGAATTCATTCATTTTATATCGCCGAAATGAAAGTCATAATTTTTCGAATCTTTCAAGACAAGTTGACAATTTCAACATATAAATCTAAGACTCAAAAAAGTGTGTAGTGTTGTAATATCTTCTTCTATAGACAAATGAATACTACGAACAAGAAGTAATAATTTCATATTCAGAAGCGAAAGAGCTCAAAAAGTTTCTAGAATTTTTCAATCGAATATTGGTTAACGCAACAGTTTCACCATTTTTTCGATGAACTACTCACCTTGGAAGTACCGAATTTAATGATGGATCATCTGGGCCAGGTACAAATATAAAATGTATATTGCGACCTTTTAATGAATCATTTTGCAAGATATTCGCCAATCGCCGAAAACCACCTGCAAATATTAATTTTAGGATTGAAAACATTTTAGAACCACATATTAAGTCTGGAACCACGAAAAATCAGATCAACTTGGATTTACTGAAATATCAGAATAAAGAAGTAATTAGATGACTGGTTTACAAGGATAAAAAAAAAGTGAGAATAGGAAAGCTGAAAAAGCAGATGTATAAGAGACCATGTATTTGTTGGTAAGCGTGAGGAGTGCCTACTTGAGAACAAAAATTTCCACAAATAACGAATGCAATCAACTGAGAATCCACGAATGCATATATTAGTTCCTTTATTGCATTTAATATCTGAAATCATCAGGTAAATTCGCTATTATAACCATTTTCTCATTGCTTATAAATTGCGAGCTTAAATGAAGCTGCATTTCATTCCATTTGAGAATGCTGCATTTCCATTTCCTATCTGGTTTAATCCTGTGAATCACATAAATTCGTCAATTAATGCTTTGATTCTTTCGCTCTTCACTGCTTCTATCGAGCCATTGCAAATATTTTTTTCAATTTAAAAAAAAAAATTCAGAAAAGAATGACAATGCCTCTTGCATGTAATTATTTTCAGTAATCTTTGTCCTTAAATAACCATCCCAAACTTTTAGAATAAAAAGAAACCGACATTTGAAATAATTATATTTATTTTTTTAATACTTAATTTTCAGCATGAAGATCTCTGTTATCATATTAAGATCTAACCCTTTCTTCATCTAGCCACACATCTGACATAAAAATAAATCTAGTTCTCTCATTTTGAGCGCACATCGTTCGGAGGCGAATCTGTGACCCACAGGCAATCGTACCTTCTCCTCCAAACCAGTTGGTTGTTCCAAAATAATTCCTAGTAACATTTGCATTTTCAACGGGTGCAAGGCCTACTGCGCTAATGTGAAGTACACCATTAAAATATCGGCCTTCCAACATCATTATGCACCCATCTGTGAAAAGACCTTTGTGGAAAGTCGCTCCTTCGAGTCTGACCTCCATAGAACCTATAAATGTTCAATTTTTGAATGAATTCACAAGAATCTAATGCTTTGTAAACCTTACACAATTAGTTTCCTTATTACTTAAGATAAGAAAATTATTGATAGAATTCAATGCATTCACAAAAAGCTTCTATTTTACAAACGAGTGATCAAAAAAAAAGACCAACACAAATGTAGTGATATTAATAAGAACTTAAAATTTCCGAAATAATTATTCATTCTCACCCGTAAGGTCTTCAATTTCAAAAACATCTGGGCTCCTTTGGGTTAACATTCCTAATAATATCACATTTTCTGATGTTTCTGGAGTGCCCAAAACAGCTTCAACTGTGGACAACTTGTGATTTTCAAATGCAGCGCTTCGCAGTGCTCGCTAAGTATGCAATTTATCACTTTTATAATCAGAACCAAATAATGCAAAAGTTACATTGAATAAAATTTTAAACTGCAAGGAAAAAACTGAAATAAAAAACTCATATCTGTTAAAAACGATGAGCTGTGATAGCGTTGCCGAAAAAAATAGACTGTGATAGCACTGTGATCGTTGTCGAAAATGGACAAGAATAATTACTTGCATTAATACTAAAAACCAACTCACTTGAACGACAAGCTTCAAGCGTTCTCTGTATAAACGTCTTGCATCATCACTTTTCCCAATGGCAGATGCATGACCATCTACTGCAACCAAGACTTTACGTTGTTCATCGTATCGTATACGTGGAGCAGTGAATAGATCAATCACATGTATTAATGATTCTCTGTATTAAAAATTTGACTGATATCACACAATATGTTAACGGCTGATAATAAAAATGACTATTTCACGACCGAACTAGTGCATTTTCATCATTATTCATTTAATATATCCTTGTTTGCATTTAAGAAATAATAACAATGCAATTTCAAATTTATAACTGTATTTAGCTTTAATTTTTAAGACTAAAATTTATAAAAAGATTATATTAATTCAATTAACTTAAAAACTCAGTGCAACTCTTCATTTCAATGTGTGTGATGTACTGATTAATTCAATTCGGATAAGTTTTGTATAAATGAATGGTTTGCTTTTTTTTCATCATTAAATAAAATCAAAGAAAAAACACTTCTTTTTGGAGCTATTACTGGCACATTGGGAAATAATTGATTTGAGTTCAGGATACGAAAGCACTGGTCCACTTACTGAAATAGAAACTTTCAAAATTCACTGTAATTTAAGACTGTGATTATTTTAATCCTGCACTAAAAATAAAATATGTAAAATTCAAAAATGACTAGATTCAATTAATGTTTGTAAGATTCCTGTCATCAATGATTTCCTTTCTTAGAAAACTGAATAGAACAACTTCAAAATAGAGCAAGATATTGATAAATAATGAAGAATACATTTCTGCTTAGAAGAAGCATCAACAATTTTGCTCAATAAACAGACTCGTTCCTTATCATTTACTTTCATTAAAATCTCAACGGCATATTCGGTTGCCTCCCTGAAAATAAATGCTGATTATTTACTACAGCGAACTTTTGTGTGCAGAATTGAATATTTATTAAAAGAAATCTGAAAAAAGAGGATCCATTGCACATCAGCAAAAAATAGACTGCGAACTTAGCTCTAAAAAATTTGCAAAAATAATTTACTTGCTCATTGTGATAGCACGCATTTGGAATGTTTTCCGAATTTGTTTCCTTAAATTTTCTGCATCTGAATCACTTGCCATTATTTAGCACATAGCGCCTGTTTCAACAATACCTAATCTAATAAAAAACACGGTTTTTCCAGCACAATAAGGACCACGAACAATTAGGATGTCAGGAAGAAATCAAAAAGAAGACCTGTTGCATGGATAATCCATAACTTTAAGTGATTAACATGGAAAGCGTTGCAGATCGATTGATTTAATTGTATACAAAAACAAACAGAAGTATTATTTGAAGAACTTGTAACTAAAACACTTCATATTAGATATATTTCCAAAGAAATTTTCAGCTGTGTCTATAAATCTTTAGTGATGCAATTTCAATTCCAATTCTTCCATATTTCTTAAAGTTCAGAAAAATAAAATGAGATCCCAAGAAAAATAAATAAACTGATCAATGTTCAGTACTCGCCAAAAGTGGTAAAACAATTACGGAATAATTTCTGACAAAAACTTGATATGTTTTATGTTTTTGCTCTGGAGTATGGATTTTTATACGCTTGTTCACAGTTATTCTTTACAATTATCATAAGAATAAAGTAAAAGTTTTTATGTCCTGCAGCAATCAAACTTGAAGAGTACTGGAAATATGCAAGTAATATTCATCATAAATTATGAATGAACGGAAAAACTGGTACAAATATTATCGAATTTCTCGACGAGGTCCAGGAGGCATCATAAATGGTGGCCTCAACATCGGCGGTCCTACTGGAGCTCCCATTGGTGGATAAGGAAATGGCATAGGGCCTCGAACTGGTGGGCCACCAACTGGCGGCATCATCGGTGGTCTCGGTCCACCAACCGGCTATGACAAATAATCATGAGCCAAAATATATGAAAATATTTTAAAATCTTCTTATTGATAAAAAACATGATATAAAGACAGAGTAGGATGCGATTGGAGCCTTCTAAAAAATAACTTCAACTTATGGCAATAGGAAATTTGTAGCCTACCTCCTAATAACAAAAGTCAGTACAGTAAAGACAAATTTTTAAATTTATTTTAAATTTTTATTAAATAAAAATCGCATTTAAATTTATCATATACATTTTAGTGGCTTTATTGATTTTTTCCAGCAAGTTTTTTCTAAATACTGTAGAGAATTAAGAGCACTAAATTAAGTAATCAGGAAATAATGAAAAAAAAGCTAATGCATAACAAAATTATTTTTAATTATATTCATCACTCAATAAACTATTAATTAAAGTTCACAAACCAATTGATAAAAGTAATAACTTTTATGCTCACAGCTTTCACTACGAAATTAAATCATTCTGAAATTAAGAACAAAGAAAAAATTGATAATCGTAGCTAAGAATTTTCAATCAAAAAAGTACCATAGGCATTCTAGGACCACTTCCTTGACTTCCAGACATACGACCTTGAGTGAATGCTCGTGCCGTAGCATCTACTAGCTTCTGAGCTTGCTCCTCCATCCATTTCTGATAAAACATTCGCACATTTTCCTGTAACCAGTATTTCAAGGCCGATAAGTAACTAGTAATAGAGTAAAAAACAATAATGATTTATTACTCCTTCTTGCAAATCCCCATTTCACAACCAAAGCTGAAATTTTTGTTAATTATAAACACGGACTTAAAGTGAAAATTTATAAAGCGTAAAGAATAAAATCTAAAATGATCAAATTTTCCGTCAAGACTAAAGCGGAACAGAGAACAATATATACAAAGAGGAGATTTTACGTTTATTTTCTGACCTTATGCTTTCGACCACCATTGTGAGTTTTCCGAACAGAAGGCGAATCATGCGTCAAAAAAGTATCACAGTAATCGCAATAATATTTTGGCATATTCCTAAAATTAAACTAAAACAATAAGCAGTAAATCAATCACTTTCAGCTTGTGATACTCCTGCAACCATCATACACTATTAAATAAGAAACAATCAAGACATTCTGCTTCACACTAGCATTTTAAAACAGCAATCATTGTAACAGTGATGCATCGATGAATTTTAATTCAAAAACCAAAATTCTTTCGATCTTAGCTATAAAAAGCAAATTTTGAAAGTTCCAAGTACAAATACGTCTCAATCACGGATTGAAAAACACGTAGCACTGAATATAAACTTGGCAATAATTTAAACGAAATGAAAGGCGAAACATATCGCACAAATTTATCTTTCTAAAATAAATATTTCAACCAAAATCTTGTAGATAATTCGAAAAAAATCATCAAGCACGGCCCCGTTATGAAAATCAATTCATCTCATAAATTGAGGATTTATAAATGATTCATGCTAACATGTTAACTTTTTCAAGTAATTGATAAAGTATACCATCAAATATAACTTTTTGAGATTTGAAATTTTTCTCCACTCTAAATTTTTTATATTATATTCAATTCATATTACTTAATCGATAAAAAGTAGATAATTTAGCTGATAAGACTGATAAGCTAATAGATATTCGGAATACGCGAGGTTTGCAAATAGAAATTGCATTCTATGCTTAACATGCAGCTATTCAGAACAGTTAAAGGGCGTTGTTAGCAACATATAATAAATTTACAAATCAAAATTTTAAAAAAAGAACAAAAACAAATAGAAAAACGAAAAATTAGATAAGGTCATAGGTTAGAATATAAAACGATATGCATATGTATATTGCTAGCGACGATAATATTTGGACTAATAAAATTAATACAATTAGATCTATAGCTGATATAATATTATCAGAAGCAAGATTTTATTTTATGTTATATATAAAATGCTGAATTCATTTCAGATTTTGTTTGCAATGTCAAATGCACGTCAAATGCGATAAACGTTTTGCAAATTTATTGACAGATACGATTTAGATCAATCTTGTACGTTTTACACATCTCCTGTATCGATAGACAACTCAAAAATATTAATTGAAGCAGGAATATTTTCAAATTTAATATGACTGAATTTGCGAATTTATTTTTAAATTTAATGATTAAGCGCTAAGAAATATGCAATACATATCGTAATTCTTGAACCGAATCCCGTTGCGATTTGCGCAAATTAATTCAATGATTGAAATGCGTGAAAGTCTTTTCATTTTGCAACTTAAAGCTCAAAAGTTCAAAAGTAATAATAATAATACAAAGTAGAGCTGCAAAACAACTTTGAAAAGTAATATCACACTCAAAAATTAACATATAAACTTTGAAGTTGCGAAAAAACGCATGCAGAAATTAATGGATAATTGCAATGCGAAAATTAGCATTGACTGAAGTAAATACCATATCTTTGCCAGAAACTGAAGTCAAATTTAAAAATTTAAATATCTCATCATGCCTTGAACACGCATAAAAACAAATGTACACAGATTAACACTACAAAAATATTGCTGACTTTTTATCGTAAAATCGGTTTAAAATGAAAGAAATTATTTTGAATTTCTGAACACATTTTTGACGAGAACAAAATGAAATGCGCGATTTATAATGGAAATCGAAAACACTTTAAGTGGATAATGTAGATAAAAACGTGCATTTAAACGTTAATTACGTGAAAATGTACAAAAAAAGATGTAATTATAAAAAACTTCTCACGCTAATAATTGAATTATTTACTGTCATTAATCCTGAAATGTTTTTAAGCGAAAGGTCAGACATATTGAATTTATATTCATAATCATCCTCACACTGAGAAATATCCAAATGCAGAGATTTTATTCATTATTTTGCACAATATCGTACTGTAATCAATGAATGGAGTGAATGCCACGGTATTGCCAGAATATTATCATTTCTCTATGGTATCGACAAACAACTTAATCACTTCTTCATTGGTAAAGCAAAACCAACGCGAGCATTTCCAAAGTCATACACACTACAGTATGATCGAAGGAATGGATAGCCAAGTGCCCAGGATGGAACAAATGCCACGCTGTACTGTTCTAGTATTGACAGCAAGCAAATCTCTTTCGACTCCAACTTGAACTGAAACAAGGGAGAAATTTATCCAGGTCAATTCTTTGGACATCTGAACAATTAACTCGCAAACACGCGCAATCACATTTGGTACTTTAACGTATATCAGAAATAAGTTTCACCTTCCGGATGTACTGAGTAGACGGTACTTCGAAAGTGCTATTTTCAATGTCAAATGTGATACTAGGGCCGTCTTTTCGCAACCCGCAGTCTACTTGATAGTCATCTAGATCAAAGTTCCAGGTAGCATTCAACTCTTGCATAATTGGATACACAAGTGAAATTGGAATGCCTAAATATGCTACTCCTGAATCTGGCGTTCCCTGCTGCCACCCTGTAGTTGCAAATGATCCGAGCGATACTCTGCAAGTTAGAATCCATCCGCGTATCGTTAGACAAAAATGCAAAGTAATTTTGCTTTCATTCATGCAAATAACTTTTATGAATGATCAAATTAGGCAGCATTTATTCTGCAGTGAAATCAATCGGTTTTTATGCATAATTCGAAGCTGTAAAGGTCAAAATTATATTTAACCTTTCAACCACACTAAATTACAATGCTAAAATTTCAACTTTGATTAGATTATTAGCGAAAATACCCTTACTTTCGAACAGTGACCTGCCAGTAAGTTTTTGAGGTGAGCGTCAACCAAGTGATATCCCTGCAATTCGCAGTATCCAAAGCACCCAAAGTAATTAGCCCTCCGTCATGCGCATTACTTTCGTCCAAATGACTGTAAATCGTCGT